AATATTATTTTCCGTAAATTCATAGAAATCATTTTTAATGTATTTTGTACACGTTCCCGACGTGAGCAAACTGTCATGATCAGATTACGTTTGGAAGATTGTTTTAAATGTTATCAGCTGCAGTATGTTTTAAATTTCCTGAGTATATACTTCGTGTAATTCTATGCTCCTCTATCCAACCTCATTTTCAAAGTTTAATACCAGTGGTTTTTAGATGTTTGTAGTGTGATCACATTGTATAAATGTATACAGAAATATTCAAAGGAAAAAGTTAAAACATAATTTCTCGATCAAACTTTAAAGCAAAATAAAATATATTTGAATATTTGAGTTTAGGTAAAGATTTTATTTTTTATTCTAGTTACCTTGTACGATGTATACAAATATCACAATAAATTTTATAAACTTTGTGATATTGAAAATAAAACAATTAATTTATTAAATACATTTCTATATTGTACTAGGGTTTCCACTTATCAGTTATAAGGTACTTAATATTTATTAAATCAAGTTGAACTTTTTTAATTAATGATATAAATAATTAATATTATGAACACGTTTTTTGTAATTTTTTTTTTTTATCAAGTGTATAATTTAATTAATAAACAGCGGAAATGGTTAATAATATTAAATCGAAATTCATATTTATAGGATCCTATTTGTTTGTGCATCGTGATATTTGAACATGTGAGGTAAATAAAAAACGTACTGCGATGTAGGAACATATTACTTCTATTTATGAGTTGGTGGGTATTAATTTTTTTGAAAATCAAATTAAAATGGTTCAACAAAATGTTAAGGGCCAAGACAAAAATGATTATATTTAAATGTAAAACACATTATTCGTTTATAATAGATGTATCTTATGATATTATCGTTTAATTATTAATATTTCATAGTTTAAATTTATTTTATTAATCAGTTTCTCATAATTTTTTTCAAAAGTTGAAAAATATTAATTTTATACAGTTGATGTTTATTCACATAGATACTTACAAAATTATTTGATACAATAATTTTTTATTATATTACCTTTCAACTATATAAATTCATTATTTAATTATAATTAATTTGAGCATCTATAACGTAGTAAGTCTAGACACTAAATTTAGATCGACAAAATTAAAATGATACTCTTTCTATGTGAGTAGCAGGAGAGTACATAAGATATTAAGTGAATGAATAATTGAATATATTTTTAAATATCTGAATATATAGCTGTATTTTCTTAAAAAATTGTATATTACATTAAAATGCTTCAATATATTATATTAATATATTGTACCTATTTATAGTATAGAAATTCTAAAATAAAAGTTGACGATTTATGACTATAGAAGACTTAAGTGTATAGAAGCAATAGAACAAGGACGTATATTTCATGTCTGTGATTTATTAGGGAAAATTTACTATTTTATAACAATAGGTAGGTACATTGTTATTGACACGTTATGATTGCTTTCCATAGAAAACAATTGATTTTCATCATCATTTATTATTTCTTTTCTACTTTTTTTGTAATCGATAATTATTTTAGTTGATTTAGTTGATTTTAAACGTTCAAATCCGATAGTATACCAAAATGTATTAAACTTTATTTATCACATTTTTCTACCCCTTACTCATTGACGGACAGTCATGAAAAAATACTTCTATAGCCGTATTCTTGTTAAGTGACGCCAGGGGATACTTTTGAATAATACTGTTATAGCACCACTCAATAAATCGACTGAAAATTGACGCTACTGCTATTGCTATAGCAGTGGTTTTTTTCAATGGTACCATAATATGAAAGACCAAGTTTTACTGTCCCCATACAGCGTAAAGTGACATTGGTTACTGACAAATTAAGGTAGATAAGATTTTTCCATAATATTTATATTGTAGGTAAATATTTCAGCCAATGGTCACGTTATCGAGGCTTCCTTCTTATTAATAATAATAATAAAAAACAGATATTATAATTTCTAAAAAAATGTTAGATACGGCAACATTATTTCTATTTATAATTATACTTAGACCTTAAAAAACTACTAATATTATTTTTGTTATACGTACATCACATATTTGATGTAGGTACCTTATGGGACACTATTGCTATGGGAGTACTAAATCATAAATTACATAATCATTGATAATTCTCAGTGTCCGCCTCAAGCCATATTTAGCGAATAATTATATATTGATTTTTTTTTTTAATTTTAAATTCTTCACATCGAGTCTTGTGCGCATCACCGATAAAACAATAATTAATTTGGTCTATATATAGGTACTTCCCTATAAATTCGATTATCAGAACAATAATGTATATGCTATATTATGTAATGCATGGTTTAGCCATTAAACTTTGATATTTCTGAATGAGGTTGATGACACATTATATTATGAATTATTTAGATTATTATTCATCTATTTTGCATTGTCGGTACATAATTATCGTATCATAGATCACCTATGTATGTTATATTCTGTTTCGATAAAATATTTACTAACCAATCTGACCGCTTGTACTCGGTTTATTAATAATCGGATTATGTATTAACCTCTGTATTGTGTTAGTCATTGTATATATAATTTGGCGTATTTCATTTTCGATACAAAAACTATAACACATGTTTGATAATAATAAGTTATTTTGCTTGTTTTTCAAATACATAATAATCATTACAATAACAGTTATCATTAGGTATAAATTTTCGCTATAATACATCTAGGCTTTAAATCGGTATCTAGATGATTATAGTTATTCATAATGATGTATATTATTAAATCACACTTAACTATATAGGTAACGAATACAAGACGATAAACTTTTCAACCAAATGTTAATTAAATCAGGGTGATAAGATTTGTCTACGATTTCAACGTTCGGCAACCTTAATTGATAAATGAAGAGTTTTCGCGTGGTGTTGTGGACATTTCAGTAGTTTTTGCGTAGATTCTAGCTTGGCAAATTTAATTACTCCACCACCAATTATAAATATACCTACAACTGAGCATCGTGGGACAACGCGTGGCATTTATATCAAATTAATTTTGTATTGAGCATTAATAATTATAACTTACACCTAATAGGTATACATTCTGACCTGTGTGATACAATGAGTATAGATATAGGTACCTACATGATTCGTGGAACAATGATTGTGATCGTTTAAAGCTTCGATGAAGATTATTAAATTAATTACATTTTAATCTGGGGTCTATGCCAAAACAATATTCTGATTTAAACTGAATTTTAGATATTATTTTAAACTTAACACATATTATAATGGCTCAATAATAGTCCAAACGACGAAATTAAAGGGTGAAATAGAATACGATGACAAAGGTTACACTACACACTACATTATGGGAATTACATTTGTAGCTTGGAATATTAAGTTCACTCCATCGTATGTAAGTCACGTTTAAACGGTATAGTCTTGTTCTTAAAACGTTCAAGGGATAATGATAAAATGTAAATTCGCTCGACAAAGAGCATAATTAATATTACTTTTAATTCTATTATTCAATACACCGCTCTTAAAATACAATCAAACACTTTCAAGTATAAATTAAAAAGAAAAACAATATTCCAAACGTTTTACATGTGAAATGGAAAAGGTGTTAATACATCTATAACTGCTAAAAGTACATACGCTAAATTATTTATAACATCCCTCTTTTTGTATTGAATCATTTACAAAATCATTCCCAGTGGTAGCGTTATTATTACTCGTAAAAGTTTCTCTAGAATATTTTAAGATATTCATAATATAGATACAAATCAGTGAATTATAACTCCAAAGAATTTCGTTGAAAATGTGAATGCATAATAAGTATTATAATAGTAATCTAATTCAGTTGAAATAACACTACAGGGTCTATGATAATTATTATTAAAGATTATGACGTCTTATTTGCAGTTGCAGTTCATTTACCTATAACTTCTCCATTTTTCGTATTTAAAATTCCAATACCGGCATAATTCATTTACACTATATCACCGAGGAAATTGACTGAATGAAAGGAAATTATTTATATTTCTTTATTGTAATGTATAAATGAATGCTTATGACCACACCATTCGTTGTAGTTACACTCGTTTAAATACCAATAGATTTATTTCAAACATTTTTTTAATAATTCGTAAAAGTTGTAGGTACGTAGGTATAATAGTTATTTGAATTACAATTTAATATAAATAATAATCATGAAATTTGGAAAAATACTGTTATCAGAACTTTCAATAATATATTTATTCAAAAAAATTTGAAATTTGAAATAATGTAAGCATAAATCAAAAGTTCATGGATAATAAATTCTATGTAACTCGAGTATGTAAAATAAACCTACATTAACTCTATATTGGCTACATTATGTATAATTTGTTACAAGGAAGGTGACTTGTAAAAAGTGTTATTATTATTATTATTATTATTAGGTAATTCGTGTTAAAAAAAAAAAAAATGTTGAATAGGTATAGCCTATGGAAAATATCCAAAGGTTCATATTGTAATGTAAATCGTATTATATCTTATTTATAATTGTAGGTATTTAATTGAGGAACTTTTTAACTCTATTAAGATTCGTCAAATTGATAGATAATATTATGTATGTAAACTGGAATCGCGTACAACTTTTTATGGTAGTATAATGATGCTCTCCTCTCGTGAGAATGCGATTTATTTTAATAGGATTAAAGTAAAAAAGCTCTTTTGAGGGATCAATTTTTTATTATTAGTATTATTTTAATCTATCAGTAATTCACGGAGTATCCTATGTTATAAATAATGAACGCAGATACGCGTACGATTATTACCAATATATTAAAATTACAATAACATGATACTATGGAATATCATAAAATTGTTATTATATTTTGCGGAAAATATATTACGATCGGTAACATCGTGGTTATAATCTTTCTCACTCGCTTGCAGAGTGCAGAGAGAGAGAGAGAGAGAGAAACTATTCTCTCTATAATCGTTTTACAAAAATATTCATGTGAGCTTTACCTTTGATCAGTCTCCGGAGTTCCTCAAGAGCTTCTGCCCGGCGTTCCGGCGTCTCGCGCAGGTCGTTCACGGCGCGCTCCTTGTACGATTCTTCGAAATCGGCGCCATCTTCAAACCGCAACTCGTACCCGGAGCCCATTTTCACGACTGGTCCGTACTTGTMCACTTCCATGGTATAATTGTTCGGGTTTTCGTTTCGCGTTCAAAATKTTATGATTTCAGACGTTGACGGACGGCGAATATGGTGGTCACTTACACCTCTAATATTATGATGTGCAGGTAAAACGACGATGACGACAAAATAAAATATTATGTACATACAACAGCACCTATAGGCTTCGTGTGTGTTGGCGGACGGATGATGATCGATGTGCGTAGTGGTTGACGACAAGACGATGACAGAACAACCCGACGGTTTTAAGCAAAAACCGTCAACAATATTACAACAGTCTTGCGACTAACCGGTACGGTGCCGTGCGTAAGTGCGAATGTGCTCGGTGCTCAGACGTTTGGTTGTAAATGGAATTGCAACACGACCGCTGCGGTGTTATAATAGCTAATAGGCCGCGATAATAATATTATTACCTGTGGACTGTGATAGTATTATTGTTATTATTATTWCTATGTGTTACGTATGTCTGCAAGACTACGCTACTCCCGCCATCATTGTCCACCATCGAACTGGTTACGATGAACACTAGCGCCGACCAACCGGCGGTTTAACGGTCTACTATCGGGAATCTCGATTTTTATTTTATTTTTTTATTTCATACCCACAAAAGTATTACCGTGCACAGCAATCAATAATATACACATCACTATAAAAGTTTTATAATTACACGAGAATCTATTTGGTAGGTACATATCATATTATTGTTTTTGTAATAATTATAAATGCCGAGAGGCACAAACGAGTTGTTTGAGTCAAGTGTATTTAAATTGACTTTGTTCATTAATTTTTTATATTAACTGAACTTTTAACTTAATCAATTCAAATCTCATTGATATTAACTTAATAAATAAAGAGTGATTTTATTTATAAATAAATTCTCTTTGGGTATAATGATTATTATCCTGTCTTTTAGAACTAATCAAACATGATTATTTTTTCTTCTTAATTTATAGATAGAAATACTATACAATTTTCAATTAACTCTATTTATGAACTCTTTAATCTCAAACTTTCTATAGTATGTCTTTCAAAATAATCAATTCTCAGCTTTTTTACAATGTATTTGGTACCATATTATATTATTTTAAATAAAACAAAAAAATCAGGAATTCGTTGAATGTTGTATTATTAAAGTTATCCAGATAAAAATATATTATTTTAAATAAAACAAAAAAATCAGGAATTCGTTGAATGTTGTATTATTAAAGTTATCCAGATAAAAATAACAGTTTCCAACATATTATGAAAATCGTACGGTACCTAAACATTTTTCCAGTGATTATTTTATTTTTTATTATATAATATTATTGAATATAAATATTTTATATTTATATAATTAATATAGGTACCGTAATCTCTCATTCCCTCTATCACAAAAAGTAGAAGGCAATAAATTAATGTAAAATTATCATAAACTTATAGTTATGATAAAAATTAAATATTAAATGTAATTTTCAAATTTTATATTAAAATTTTAAAAAATTGATATTGGATTCCTTAAGATATTATAAAGTTAATTCTTAAAATCTAAAACTTTAAAACTAAATCCAATTAACTGACTATTAAATCTAGAAAATTTAAATTATTTAAAGAATTTCCAATTAACTTAGTTTAACTTGGTTAGAAAATATCATTAACTTTCCCAGTCTTGGTTATCAAAGAAAATATTAAGCCGAGCCATTTATTAAACCGATATAATATTATGATGATACGATTAATACACCAATGCAGCCGTGGACAAAATAAATGTATATTGTATATAATCTGTCCTATTGCGAACAAGTCAATCATCAACTGAAAATAAGGAAACTGTTCGTTGAGATTGCAGTTGTATAAACACCTGCCATTTATATTTTCATTTTGTATAAACAGTTCACAATATTATTGACACAGAGGTTTTCTTTTGCAAAGTTCAAAGCAATAAAAGTAGAGTGAAACATTCAAACACTACACTTCAAAAAGTGATATATTTTTATATAAATTTTTTTTTTTTTAACTAAAATCATATATTACAATAAAAAATAAATATAATTTGTGACGAGTGTACTGGTTAGTTAGGCATGGAATTGATGTCGGTGTCATCATAGTTTATTGGTATTTTTTTTTTCAACTAGAAATTTGTAAAATCTGTTAATTTACAATTTATAATTTACAATTTTTTTTTTGTATTTTAAAGCGATTAATCATATTATGATTAATGTTGAGTAGATATTTTTTTCTTTATTCAAAGCGTTACAGTTCAACTCACTTGATTGAATTTAAAGAACAAGTATTAATTAATATCGTATTTTATTTATCCATCCAATATATATAAAAATATTATTTTATAAGATTAAGATAAAGTTTATAATGTATATAATATTTATATATTTATTATATTGTACTAGAATTATTTTTCTCTTATAAACAGAATGCGCTTCTGTTACCTGTCACGGTATAAGCCTGGTGTATCCTATATTTGAAGAAATATATAGCTATTAATACATTTTATCATATAAAATATGTCCACGAGACCAATTTTTTTTCGTAACACTTACATAAACCATAATCCAGTTATTTTTACGTCGCAAAAGTCATACTGTTTATGTTCGTCCTCATTTTTAAAACTGCGAGTGTAGGGTTACCTGGTTACTGCTTAAATTGTTCAATATCAACAGCTTAGGTAGGTACCAATTATATTTCATGCGTTTCTATTGTCTATAATATACACATATTATACAGGGTGTCCCGCGAGGATTCACCCATTGCAATATCTCCTGAAATAATAAATATATCATATTTCTATTTTTTAATTAGACTCGTGTAGACATGGGCTACATGTATTTTATTTTTTGGTAAAAAAGTTAAAAAAAATATTTTTATTTTTGAAAAAAAAGAGAATGATACCTATTTTATAGAGTTAATTTTGCTGAAAATTCTGAGCTTTCAACATTTTATTCTCATTAAACTCACGATTTTTAATAATTTTTTAGTTTATGGATATAACGGTGAAAACTGGTTTAATCTGGCAGTGCGGGACAGTCCCTCTCTACGGCTAATGGGTATATCCTCACGGGACATCATGTGTATCGTACTTTATACATGTAATTGTATAAAAATTAATTATTCAGAACTGTGTTATAATTATATTAAATTAAGTATAATTTTGTTTTCACATTAATAATTTTACATTGCAAATTTGGCTATAACTTATTAATATTTTAAATATTATGTTAATGTTATTTTGTTATTGTTTCATCACACTTACTTATTATACCATTGTATAGATTGTAAATTTACTATTTTTAATAAAAAAAAAATTAATAAAAAAATACTATGTATTTTTAGTTTTGACAATTTCAATAATTTGGAAATATTTTATTCAGTTACATTGTCAACATGATTTCTTTTTTCCTGCATAGACTAGGTAACATAATGTTGATGCAAATTCTATTGGTTTAAAAACTTGCTCAAGTGTATTTTAGTAACTAATTAATAATATTCGTGATTCTAATTAAGATTTTTAAAATTATTTTTGGTAAATAATAATATAATAGGTAGTACATGTTTACATTTTGCTGTTAATATATAAATATATATTTTTTTAATTTTTGTCTAATATATATACACTTTAATAGTAAGTAATTAACAAATAGTCAATACACAGAGCCGTATTACTACATAAGAGCTATATGAACTGTGCCTAGGGCACACCAAAAAATGGGAGCCAATTAATTTTCAAAATATTATATTCTCTATAATTTCCCATATTGTAGAGAAAGTGATTTAGCATGTCAATACGTAGGTAGTAATAAATAATAAGTTTTGAAGACTTCACATTTTTATTACGTTTTATAGTTTAGTCATTAAAAGTAAAACATCTTTAACCACTAATTCGATTATCTTATTTTATTGGAAATATTTGAAACAGTCATTTTTTCTTCTCAATATTTTCACTGTGATTTGAGTATATGATTGACGTGAAAAACTAAACACTTCAAATAACCACCAAAAACCATTGAGACAATATCAGAAATAATATGGTGGTATATATAGTCTTAAAGATGTTGAATACGACAAAACTAAATAAATATCAATAAAGTACCAATAAAATATTTACTTTAAGGTGGAAAAAAATTGAATTACAAGCCTAATCAGAGGTTTAATGTCAGATAGACAATGAATGTGAAAGAGGAGTTGGTAGAGTGTCCAACATTCGAATTCAATATATTCTAGCAATGTTTTTTCAAATTTATATCAACGCCAATATGCTTACAAATTTTCACTTAAATTATAGAAATTTACCTGTAGACTGTACGTTGTACATTCTATAGCTATTAGTAAAAATAATAATTTATTAGATAGTGGGATACAAATATCTCAATAGTCTTGAAATTCCATATATTTTTTCGTAAATCTTTGATTGGAATGTCAGTGATCGTGACAGTAATGAGATCAACTAACTTGTAAGTTGTGAAATTCCCAGATTTTCAATACATACAAAATACCTTATAGATTCCAACTATTTTAGAACTTTAGAACAAGTTCTCAACGAGGTCACTATCACTGAGATCCTGGATACGCTTATCAAAATACACATCAATACATTTTAAATAACTTTACATTTTTAGTCGTGTCATCGTACACTACTATATACATTTTTCTGAAAATCAGTTTTATAAATTGGCTATATTGAATACTTTGAAAATTTTTTTTATCAATTTTTAAGTTTTTTATTTTTAGTATTAAAAAATAAAAAACGTATACTAAAAATGTAGCGCAAGTGTCTATAAATTATATTTAAAAGACATTTTTTAAAAATATTGATTACAACAAAAGTTATTTCATTTATCAGATCTCCGTGGGACACCTGTATATATATATATACATGCTTAATGTCCACCTAGATGATGACAAAATCTAATATTTTGATTTATACTAAAAAAAAATAATTTTAAATCATTACATGACTACACAATTTCTAAGTTTCTAACTCAAGCAATTATGATTCTAGGACTTCCCTATAAATGTTCTACATAGGTACTGCAAATAAGTATTTGCGTCCTACATATGTTACGTAATAGTATTCTCACTAGAATATAATATCTTCTTCGTATAACCACTCACAAAAGTATAATTGATGAATATCATCATAATTATAATACACTCGTCGTTAAAATTAAATCATACATTATATAAAATGTGTACCTATTTTTAATTATGACATAAAAATAAAATAACTGACATGATATTTTCACATTGTGCAAAAAATATGTTCAATAAACAATGAAAAATGATTATTTTATGATTATATTTTAAGACTATAAGGTTTAACCATTGATTAGATCAAACTAAACATAATAAATATTTTGATGATAATGTACATTATAATATGTACAATTTGATGAACATTTTAAAGAAAATATTTATT